AAGCGAAGTGCTTAGTTTCTGTGATCCTTCTCGTAATTTAGGCTTAACTGTTGATCCAAGCCTTCGTTTCTCACTCCATATTCAAACGCTTGTAAATAAAGCATTTAGTTCTCTCAAAATGATTTATAGCAGTCGACATTTTCTACGTAAAGAACTAAAAAGAACTTCATGTGAGACCTTGATGCTTAGTAATTTCAACTATTGTAGCTCTATTTATGGGCCGTGCTTGACTAGTGCTGACATAACAAAAATACAACGGGTTCAAAATAGCTGCTGTAGGCTGGTATACGGAATTAGGAAGTATGACCACATATCACACAAAATCAGAGAGTGTGAATGGCTTAACATGAAAAATAGGGGACTCCTTCACCTGTGTAATTTACTGTAATAAACTGGTCAACACTCCAAATCCTCCAGGTCTGATCAAACATTTCATACCTCGCAAAGATACGCATCATCAAAATATAAGATCAAAATTGAACTACACTGTTCCGCAGCATAAGACCGCCATGTTTCAAAGATCGTTCATATATAATGATATCAGGATGTATAATCAGCTGCCACAAGAACTCAAGCTTCTTAATTAATATGAACAAATTCAAACTAAAACGTTATTTGTTTGATATGCAGTAGGATTAATGATGCAATGTTGTATATTCAACTTTTTATTTATTTGTTATTGTGTAACTCTTATATATGTGTGTATATGTGTATATGTATGTGTATATATATATATATATATATATATGTATATATAAAAGCAATTTTGATATCTAAAGTGTGGCTAGATCTGTTTAACATAGAAACTTACTAGAATTGGCCCCTCCACGACAGCCAGCAGTTGTTGGATTCTTTTGTGTAGCCTCTGGAAGGCACTTCTAAAACCTATAGGACTTAAATTTAGTGTTAATGATGGCCATGACATAGTAGCGATCCTATTGGGTAGTTTTTCGAAATTTAAGCAGCTTAGGACCTGACATTGCCTACATTCAACAACCATCCATAGCCAAGAGAAGAATTCTCTTGGACGGGATTCGACACCCGCGCAGCTCACTGCGACTGATTAGAGACCCATAACGTCTACCTCTGCGCAACCGCTGCTGCCTTAAACATATAGGTTTCAACGCTATACTTGCCAAGAAATCGTCTAAACTAAGATTCCTTGAGAACGTCAGTCAAATTCCTTAAAAATGTTATTTATTAAAAAAGCATTATGTGAAAGCAAAAATTCTATATTGCATTACTCTTTATTATCCATGTTTAGATCAAACCATTGCAAAACGACTATAAAAAATCCAAAATAATTGTTGCCGTCCGATGAATAATTAGAAAAAGTATGACCATACTTCAAGGAGCATTAATAGTATGGGCTGGTTAAAAGTCATTGGGCTATTCTGATACCATTTTCTGACTCTCGTACACAAAATTGAAATTGATAAAAAACCTTTATATTTGAAAAATAAACTTATACCTCGCTTAGATATAATTTCATCCAATAGAGTTATCAGATCTTCGCTTTTATTCATAGTGTCGCACCAAAAGACAGCTTTATTTAACCGATCTTTCACAGTTAACGCAGTTACTCTGTACAAATCATTGTATTTGATTAGGTTAAAATATTATCTGAAAAAGCACCTTCGGCATAAGTGTAATTTTTTTTAAAGTGCATGTGCTTGGTGATTATATTTCAAATTTAAATGTATTTACATAATTTTGTTCAGTATCATACTTTCTTTTTTTTATATATGGATCAAGTGGAAGAATACCTAAGCTTCGCCCTTTTATAACGGAATCATTAATGTTATTGACGATTATTATTATTATTATTAATAATAGCAAAAGCATTTATTTTTTTTATAAAAATTATTTTTGCTGGAAAGACAATTGGACAAGTCATTTATAAACAGTAAGAATAACAGAAATAGAAATGAATATTACAGGTATTTTAAAAGACGTTGCCTAGCAACGTGCTTCATTGGAGTTGTTGTCTGCATCTCTGAGTCGCCAGCGGGTGTCGCCAAACGGCGCATAGTCAGGAGACGGTGTGGTCATGTTTTAAAATAGGCGACGTCGCCAAGATGGTTGCCAGGTCAGGGAACTCGTTCTAGATACTTCAATAGAACTGACTACGGATGCTGGCACGTCGCCATGGCGTTCCGTTACGGGAGGACTCACTCTAAGGAAGGTTGTCCTGAATGAATTTAGCCTGTACCTAAGGTCTGAGATATTCGTCATAACGGACTTTGATTCAGAAAAGTATATATTGTACGGCCTGCCTTAAGGAAGAACGCAGGGACATCCTTTCAAGAGACAGTTAGGCATTCCAATGACGACGCGACGGTAGGAAGCAGCGCCCGCCTGGCGATCTTCTCTAGCGGTTCACACATCCATTCTTTAAAAATCCGACATCACATTACCTTCCAATATACGTATATATGATATAAATCCCAATAACTATAACCAGACCAGCTCCAGATCTTGGACTCTTTTTCAACCTCGTTGTGATGTGACTGTATAAAACAGTGGTGAAATTAAATCTTGACATTTTAGGGTCACATATATGTTCAGATTTTTCTTTATTGTAATACTTTTCACTTTTCACTGTGGTCTGTTTCAAGAACAATGTGAGTACAATAGACAATTCTGTGGCAATACATTTTGTTTTCTGTCTTGCAGGTGACATTTCAATTCTGTTTTTCTTATTGAAATAGTGTGAACCATCATTCTAATTTTAAGATTAGCGGACAGACCGGCACACAGACTGACAGACTAAAATAAGTAACATATGGTTTTTCGTGTCATATCCAAAAAACATTATCATGAATGAATTTAGCCTGTACCTAAGGTCTGAGATATTCGTCATAACGAACTTTGATTCAGAAAAGTATATATTGTACGGCTTGCCTTAACGAAGAACGCAGGGACAACCTTTCAAGAGACAGTAGGCATTCCAATGACGACGCGGCGGTAAGAAGCAGCGCCCGCCTGGCGATCTGCTCTAGCGGTTCACTCATCCATTCTTTAAAAATCCGACATCACATTACCTTCCAATATATATGATATAAATCCCAATAACTATAACCAGACCAGCTCCTGGGACTCTTTTTCAACCTCGTTGTGATGTGACTGTATAAAACAGTGGTGAAATTAAATCTTGACATTTTAGGGTCACATATATGTTCAGATTTTTCTTTATTGTAATACTTTTCACTTTTCACTGTGGTCTGTTTCAAGAACAATGTGAATACAATAGACAATTCTGTGGCAATACATTTTGTTTTTTGTCTTGCAGGTGACATTTCAATTCTGTTTTTCTTATTGAAATAGTGTGAACCATCATTCTAATTTTAAGATTAGCTGACAGACCGGCACACAGACTGACAGACTAAAATAAGTAACATATGGTTTTTCGTGTCATATCCAAAAAACATTATCATGAATGAATTTAGCCTGTACCTAAGGTCTGAGATATTCGTCATAACGAACTTTGATTCAGAAAAGTATATATTGTACGGCTTGCCTTAACGAAGAACGCAGGGACAACCTTTCAAGAGACAGTTAGGCATTCCAATGACGACGCGGCGGTAAGAAGCAGCGCCCGCCTGGCGATCTGCTCTAGCGGTTCACACATCCATTCTTTAAAAATCCGACATCACATTACCTTCCAATATATATGATATAAATCCCAATAACTATAACCAGACCAGCTCCAGATCTTGGACTCTTTTTCAACCTCGTTGTGATGTGACTATATAAAACAGTGGTGAAATTAAATCTTGACATTTTGTTAATATAACTCCATTTTAGGGTCACATATATGTTCAGATTTTTCTTTATTGTGATACTTTTCACTTTTCACTGTGGTCTGTTTCAAGTACAATGTGAGTACAATAGACAATTCTGTGGCAATACATTTTGTTTTCTGTTTTGCAGGTGACATTTCAATTCTGTTTTTTTATTGAAATAGTGTGAAGCCATCATTCTAATTTTAAGATGGCACCGTGCGAGATATTGGCGGTTATAAGATTAGCGGACAGACCGGTACACAGACTGACAGACTAAAATGAGTGACATGGTTTTTCGTGCCATATCCAAAAAACATGATATCTCTTAAAGGAAAAAAGATACGAAATGTCACGTGAAAGGGAGAAAACAAAATATATTATCACAGAATTGTAAATTTTACTTAGAGAAGAACACGCAACATCGTACAATAAACAGAAATCTGACCAAATATATGGTTTTGATTCGGCCAGACAATAAATAGATCCTACGAACATTTAAACTCCAGGATAAGTTTCAGGAGTCGCGTCTCAGACACACTACATGTCGGAATTTTAAATTTGTCACTCTACCAAATCAAGAACAGAATTTGATTTTTATAATCCAACTTGACAATGTTATTATACATTGCAAACATAATTTCGTCTTATTGTACGTCTGCATTTTTAACCAGTAATGACTTGCCTAAATAGGAAACATAAATCAACTAAACATCACAACTTACAATAAGGCATTAAACAGTCAATTTCGACTATTTGTGGATGCTATTAGATGGTGGTGAAACGCAAGCATATATTATGCAAATTTTTCTCTAAACGAACAAAAGAATAAAACATTTGCACATCACACCCTGTAGAGAGGCAATTAATCTCCCAAACCAACCCCCATATGTCCACGTGTGCGTGCCGGGACTCAAGGTCATTCGACAGAGATCCAGACGACGGATGGGGTCCCTGCCAGATGGCAGCCAGTCAAACTGTAGATCCTCTTCAGAAAATTTAATTTTCTACCCAACCATCGGCAGATGTGCTGGCCGGAAGAAGGAATAATGAAAAGAAGAGCGGAATGCTTTAGAAGCAAGGGTGGGTGTCATATCACCCGTTTAGGGACAAAGAGAAAAAATGTAATTTGAACCGATGGAACTTGGTTGTTAGCAATCGACGAAAAAAATTGATTGATGTTATAAAAAAGAATGTGTATGATGACACGCATTTTACCTGCACCCTTTTTAGACAGAGACGGGACGCTATTCATCAGCGAATAACCAGCCTGTGAAGCCAAATAGTCTTTGGAATTGTTTTTCATGTTTAGCATATCAATCGCCTTTAGAGTTTTTGTGTCAATATAAACTAGAAAGAACTTTGAAGATGTACAGGTTAACTACATATTGCAGATAGGTAGATTCAGTTGTTCTCAACTGCAAAAACTTACCAAAGAGGGTTTGTCATTGAAACAACTCATAAGAAACGATGATACATATTTCTGCAAAGTAATTGTCATTACTTTTACTTCCCACGCCTAGTGAGAAGTATTGTAGGCTCAAAAATTTTCGAAAATCAGATATTATGTTTTTTTTGATGTTATATGACGTATGTATCAGGAAAAACTGTGTCACTCATTTCTGCCTATAACTTTTTAAGTACCGCTCGGATTTTGATGTTACCGCTACGCCATGGACGAAAAGTTTGTATAGGTTTTGAAAATCGGTCCAGTGTCGGAGGAGAAAAAGGCCAAAAACGAAAAAAGAAAATCGATCAAACTTCTTTTTTGACATTCCAGAGGATGCTGATCATTTTGGAAAAAAATTTAGAGGTAAAAAATTTGGGTGTGGTGGTTGTAGGAGAGTGGGGAGGGTATATCTAAATTTTTTGATGTTAGTATATTTATACGCTCCCAGCCTCGGTAATTCTGCATACCTATAATACATATTTCACACGTCATAGATTTCCCCGTACATTTACCCTTAAAATTTCGAATCATATTTTCAGCAGACAGATGGTGTACATAACGGCAGCATCTGCCCTTACTCCCAGCGGCGAGCCGGTCCTGGTAATGTTCTGGTATTACTGCCTCGCCATAGCATAGTGTTTCCTATGCTGTGGGCGCGGTGTCACGCCTTGTCGAGCTAGGTATCGGATAGAGGCGACTTTGCCAGATGAACTACAGGTATGGCAGGGAAAGAATGTTTATGGATTAATTGTATGGACCTTTTTGATTTTTTTCCAGAGGGTCAAGTTTGTGTCCTTTATGAAGTGGTAACGATGTTACGTGAGAAGTGCAGAGTCAACCTACTTGACATCATCTTTATTTTTTGTAAATGAGCTGAAATATTTACTGACGTTTCGGCCACCTCCATCGCCTTTTTCAAAGAATAAATTACTTTATTTACTAATAAACCGGAATCCTACTTTAAAAGGTTTCTTGTATAATGCTTGCTTACAGTATAACACAAACAAAATGCTACCATTAAATAATTGCAAAATTGTTCCGTTACGCCTGGCTCAGTCATTAAAAATCGTTGACCTGAAAAATATGCGTAGCCTACCATTGCTAAAATAATTTGAGAGAAACTATGTCGCTCGACACATGGCCGATTCGAATATTTTTGCAAAGGTTGTATGGCAAATGCTTTAGCAATCCTCATTACACTAATTGTACAAGACCAATCTGGCTTGCATGAAGCGGCATACTTTATTAATTTCTGTGAACATTCAATATGTTAAGCCTTAACGTATACAAACATGCCAGAACGCTGAGATGCCAATAAGTGTAGAGTAAAAGCTTGGCTATTTTTTTAGGGCTAATAATTACTTTTATAGTCTCAGCACTCTTTCGTACCGATGGACTGATGGCGATCTGCCTTTCTTCTACCGCTATGTCAACAGGCTTTGCTCCCCAGAGGTCTCGTCCATGATGCCAGACAGACCCGCCTGACTTCGGCTTTCCATCTTAACCGTGTTGAACTTCGTACGTTCAAAACTGGCCGGTTCGACCGTTCCTTTGTCCCTAGGTGTCGAGATTGTAGAAAAATCTGCCTGAGGAATCTTTTCTCAGTTCTACTAACCTTAAGCAGTTCAAAAATCGGATAAACAAAGTATTTTTTGAGATTCTCATAGATGCGGAAACCAAGTATTTAGGCTCTTTCATATGCGGCTGGTCCGGTTTAAAAAACCTCGTACATTGCTTGTGCGAATGACGAAATATCAAAACATGTTTATCAAACATCCTGTATGTTTCATATCAAAAAGTATCCGAGGTAGTCGAAATTTTAATAAATATTTTTCCATAAACTTAGCGTGATGAAAGGAAGTTTTGCTATATTCAGATAGTAATACATCCTGTTATTGAGCTGTCAAAGAAAATATGCGTATTAAGATTTATTTGTCTTTTTTCTCTACCCAACTGCCCATGAGAAGTGTTATGGTACTTGACCAATGATCTCAATATCCATTTGGAAAATTAATTATTGACATTATAAATAGCAAAGTGACATCTGGAGGTTGTTGTGAAGTTATGAGCAAATAAATTAATTGGTCCGTAATTAAAACAACAAATAGTAATATTGATTATTTTTGATAACATGCGTTGTTGTTATACCTCCATCAACACAATTGGGTAAGGAGCTTGTGTATTAAATCTTACAATCTGAAAAAAAAACAACGTTGGGCGGCGAGAACAGTGCCAGTGAGTGGTATGACGACTTTTAGGATCAAATATACAGGGTGATTCCTATGTGAATGTCAATATTTAAGGAGGTAATTTTAGTGTCCATTTTAAGAAGAAAACTTTTGAGATACGGGGTAGTGAAGTTTTCATAAATAAATCATTTAGATAACTTAATGAAATTTGGCATACACGTACTATGTATCAAGAGGCATTCCTAATGTACCACATTTTTTTAATTTCCGCCAGTGGCGTTCGTACGGAAGTTTACCTGTCTATTTTGGCAGATATTGATGGTACGCCACTTATTTCTCCTAAAGTAAGTGAACAGTTATTATTCTTGAAATTCCAATTTATTTCCAAGCAAATTTGATCACTTGATTTTTTTATTCCGGTGCACGGGTTTCCGGAAACCATCCGTCCGATTAAAAAAATCAAGCGATCAAATTTGCTCATAAATGAACGAGGATTTAAACTTTTTTTATTTAAAAAAAAGTTAGTGGCGTACCATATACTTTCTATGTTGAAAACTTCACCACTATGTATCTCAAAAGTTAAGACGTTTAGGACATACGTTCATACGAAGTTTTCTCATTAAAATGGATCCAAAAGTCGTCCTCTTAAGTACTGACACTCACTTAGGAAACACACTGCATTCTTTGCGCAAATTAGTAAAATAAGGAAGCCTTGACATGGGAAAGGTTTTTCTGAGATTGTTTTTTGCGCTGGAAATTTTTCATTTAAGTGTGTGATAGGTAGCAAACACTGGTTAAAATAGCGGGGATTTTATGCATTAATTATGCAAAATAACATAGAAAATATTCACATACAAGTCCATAAAGACCCCAAAATGACCGTTGCGCTAGAAAGTTTTCATTTAAGTGTATGATAGGTAGCAAACACTGGTTAAAATAGCGGGGATTTTATGCATGAATTATGCCAGATAACATAGAAAATATTCACATACAAGTCCATAAAGACCCCAAAATGACCGTTACGGTCACCCCTTATAGTAACACAAAACCTAATTTAAATTTATAATTATCTATACCTATAATAGTATTCCTGCCAACGAAAAAGTTACCAGACCTAGATAAAAATGACCGCAGTGCCAACGACCTAACAAGATACTGACATGGGCGCCCATATAGCAACATTCAAGGAGGGTGAGGACAGATTGGCGGTTCCAGAATCCATGTTCAGCGAGATTTCCGCCTCAAAGGGGGGTTCCAACTCCGGCGATTGAAAATTGAATTCCCTTTTATCAATAAAAAAGCAACCTTGAAGTTCCTATTTCACGGGCTACAGCTTAAACGGTTTGATTGTTCTTGACATATGAAATCTCTCTAGATTTGTCTTGACAGCACGAGTGACACTGGCTATATTGTTTTATAAAAAATAGCGTATTTTTAAACGCAATCTTCAAGTTTGAGATTTTTATTTCACGGGCTTCAGCCCAAATAGCTTAATGGATTTTGACAATTGAGGTGCCCTTAGATTCGCATTGATAGCGCAATTGATTCTTCATTCTTTTCAGTTACTGCAGTTGGATTGATTATTTTTAAATTGTGCATTTTTGTGTCAACGTGCCATTTTTTGGAACTACAAACATTGCAAACGTCTTTTAAAACTTGAAAGGTAAACCCCTCTTTAGTTTGACTTTTTGTGAAATTGAACATCCTGGATTACTTGCAAACTTCAAGTTAAGTGTATGTCACCCTGTATGTAATGCTGTGTACCCTACCACAGGCAATGATCTGGTAATTATTGTGAGAAACACTCTTAACGAGTTTCAACTCAAAGAGGGTTAGCTCCGGAATACACTGGTAAATAGGCAACAGATAACGGTTAATGGATCACTTTGTTAAATAAGATATAGCAAGGCTAGTGACTCACTAAAATATACTTATTTTGGAAAGCATGGTCAAATAATCGCAATTGGTATGAATGAGGGTACTTGTCCTTTGTCATTAAATAACTGATATTTTCATATAGATACTCTGTAGCACGCGATTTAAACTAAATTTGACGTTCGATTTCCTAATTTCTTCAGCTAGAAGGTTTTCAATAAATCAATGTCACCAGCACTCACAATGCATAACTGTTCTCGATTTCAATTTTATACCTCCAAATACGAAACAGATGTCACCCTCATCCTGTGTTTATATTTTTTCTATTTTAGTGGCACACGACATCTGCTCCTTCCCAAGTATGGTACAAATAATTCAGACCCAAAATTTGTACTTATCTAGATGCATTTTAAGTGGAGGTTTCAAGTTACACCCTGTTCGATTTTTATGGGGTGTTTATTCTATGCAGTAGCAATGTTTACCTTTCAGTCGAATAGCTCACATGTGGATGAAGTATTATTTTCACATGCAACTTTTGAACTTCCTAAATATATGACAGTACTACAACTTTAAAGTTAATTGAGTTCTTCAACACCAAGCTTAAACTGCATGACGAAAAAGTGACGCTGACACATATGCAAGCCTTATAATGATGTCAAATACATAAATCAGTAAATATTGCTAATATATGCATGTCGAACCCAACAACGCTTAAGTAATTGCTGCGAAGATATCAACTGACTATTCCATAGAAATTGCAAAAAACCGTTACAGGTTATGCAAGATCGCAAGCAAGTTATGCTTAGTAGATAGTGATATAGATAACATGACTGCACTGCTACACGTCCTTCTTGTACATATACTTGTTTGGCAGCTATCTAACAGCTTAATTTGCATAATTACGTACTTTTTTGTTTCAAAATTCCAGCATTTTCTATAGCTATTGCGGTTCATCCAGATTCAAACTTTTTCACGAAGGGTGACCATGTTTATTCGATTCCTTGAAACTGTGAGTAATGAAACAAATTCCGACCTCTGTAAAAAAGTGTACTCGTCTTCTTTTTACTCAAAAAAATTCTACATATAATAAATGACGTCGATTTGAGATATGGGATTTTCTAAATTTACTCCTCTAATCACTTATCTGCAAAGCTTCTCTAGGAAGCCAGAGGATGGAAGTTTGCATAAGAGGGCAGCATGCAACAGATGATCGAAAGCTTTTGTGATATCAAGACCGTGGGCAAATGTGTGAAATATGTATTGATAAGTACGTAAAATTATTGAGGTTGGTAGCTTATGGAGTCTCACAAACGTCAAAATACGAAGTTTTGGCGATTTTATTATCTTCGTGTTTTTGCTCCTAGCTCCGCCACCACCTAATCGATTTCCAAAAACTATAAAGCTTTTTTGTCCTTCGCATAGTACACTTCTGTGACAATCTCACCGGAATTCCAGCAGTACTTTCCAAGTTAAAGGCGGTCCAAGGACTAGCGGACACACAGATCGACGGAAATGAGTGGCATGGCTTTTCGTGATGTGTATATCATAATATAACATTCAAAAAATACCCCATTTTCCAAATTTTTCGCGATTACAATACTTCCTTGCCTGTAGGCGTGTACAGTGAAAGTATGCAATCGATGGATGTAAGATGTCTAAACTCGGCCTTGACAGGATTGTTAGAAGGTGGTTTGGAAAAGTTTTGGATATTCCATGCATTTATGGGCTTTTTAGATGGCGGGAAAAAACATTAACTTGATATAAGGTTTTGAGAGTATTATGATACTACAACTTTGAAGTTGTGAGATGCTATCAAGGTATTTTGGAAAAAACGCGCAATGCTTCATAACCTCAAATATGGGCAAAAATCTCTGTTTTTACACCTCGAGGTTGGTATATTTCGGAAACTTAAGTGCCAGTTGAGAGATTTGCACCACGGAATCAGATTCAGCGCATCGTAAACCTTCAGGAAAGTATACTCTGGTTCCTGGGTTTCTGGGTAAAAATCTAGTCGACATATGTAATTGTTACATCTTTTTTCGGACAGGTTAAACATGAACCAAAGCTTCAAAATCATCAGATTCGTAAAATATTTTAAAGAGACGTGGAATAACTATAGTAAGCTCGGTTCTATATCTCTTCAATACAACAGCAGGAATCAAGTTGAGACCAAATACTATCTTGTTGGCGTGCGAGAAGAGTCCGTGTTTGACGATCTTATGCCTGAAGGTTACTTTCCATATAGTCCCTTGGAATCGACGGCGCCCAGGCGTTGGGAGGAACGTCCACAATGGAGTCGGCAGCAAATATCTTTGCAATTACTTTCGCTTTAGCCTTAGACTCTGCGTTCCATTCTGGCATGTTAGCTAGAAGTTCTCTTTAATCTGTTTTATTTAAAATCGAAACAGGTGTGTAGACAGAAGCCCAAATATCTAGGCACCTCAAAGACACTTGGTTAATCCGATTTCTGATCAGCCGAAGATTAATAGAAAAGGGAAAATCGGGACCTTCTGGAGTATTTTAAACATCTCAGCTTGGTTAGAGACAGGCAGCATCGTATTCGACACCAGCGATCAACTGTGGATCACCTGGCGTACGTCACAACTGTGGAGTAAACTCATTCAGTCTTATGGTGAGGCTCATGTCGTTGCTCTTGATGTAACGAAAGCTGTGGCATGCTGCCCTCTTATGCAAATTGCCATCCTATGGCCCCCCAGAGAAACTTTGCAGATGGGTGGCTCACTTCTTCTTTGGCCGCAGAATATCCAGGCAGGTGCTCCTCTTCATCCCACAATATCAACGCGGGTATCCCTCAGGGATCAGTCTTGGTTCCAACATTGTTTCGATTACCTAGCAAATACCTCTTTTCCTGTACGATCAATCCGATCTACAGCTTTTCTGATGATATCATTCTACACGTAGAAATTTAGAGCTCCAAGCCGAACCCAGTAAGTGAGCTGGAGAGAAGAAAACTAGTAGCGGCTTCTTCTCTGACGAGAGACCTAGAAGTTATCACCACTTGGGTTCGCAACAATCTGGTACCGTTTAATGCTTCCATACACAATATACGTAGTGTACCTCGGCTAACAAGAAGCGTTCATCCCGTTCCGATGGTTGGCCAAGATCTACCAAAGAGCCGTTCATTTCGGCTGGTCGAAGTCCAGATCACCGAGGACTTGATCTGGCACAAGCACAACTCGTCAATTGCAGCAGCTGCTGGGGAAAAGCTAGGTTGGACCCTTCTATCAAATATCGAATAAGAAAATTTTCATATTGGCGTCTAATATCCAAATTCAGTACAAAGACCTTACATATCTCACGATAATACCCATTAATTACCTACCTCCAGCTTTAGATATTCAAATTAATCCAGACAGAATTAGGATATAATCTCCTTCATCTTTTCAATTGGACCATCTCTGAAGACGTGTCATAAAAGGTTCTTGTCCCTGTGTAAGAAAATGTTTATTTTAAAGCTTTATTTCACTGGTAGATCCATATCGCATGTCAGGTTTTCAGTTCGGTATTGTGCTCCTAGAAAAAAGAGTGAAGAATATGTGACCGTTAGATCCGTCGTTTTGAAGATGGTATTATGGTGCTTGTTATGGTAATTTCTCTTTTATTATGTTCTATGTGGACATAATGTATGGATGCGTAGTGATGTTAAAGTTGCTCAAATCTATTTTGAATGGCTTGATTTTCTCGGCTGACAAAAGAAATAGTACTACTTATACAGGGTGTTTCATAAAGAATGCTCCGACATGCAGTTATAGGATGAGCATGCGCCAATCGGAATTACCGTTCCAACAGAAAATCGAACTAATTCCATGACTGGCAGTTCTCTGTTTCATCAAATTCCTAAGCGGTTCTGAATAGGATACAACAGTTCTGGTTCTGAGAGATAATTAACAGTTCGAATAAGATAGCTAATACGCGTTTTGATGATAATAAAATTTATTACACATATTCAAAAAATGAGTGGCCATGAAGACTACTTTGGAACAAATTCAACTGAGGATGAAGACCTTGAGCTAATTATAGGAATACCAAGAACCAGAAATGTAAATTACATAGTCGAGTATTGATGATTTTGCTAATATTGTCCTGTTATTTTCCATTGAAAATTCGGAGAATGACGATATTTGAACAAAAGATTTTAGAAATTTTGTCGTACGTGGAATCTTGGACTAAGATACAAATGTAACAAAAGTACAGGAAAACTCTACAAATGCATTGAAGTGTACCGGCAGCTCTTCTTATGCAATGAACAAGAAAAACAAGTAACATTAATTTACAGTTCAGGATACGCTTGACTGTTAAGTACCTAGTTAATAGAATAGCACGTCACCGAGGAAAGTTCAGAGATCTTCACATAAGATTTTGTATAGCGAAGAATGTCTTCCTGCATTGCAGCGACAAAAGACACAGTAACCTTTAGAGTGGCTAACCGTGAAGGCAGACCCTAAATGCAGAGGTACCGTCACTGCTATCAAGACGTCATTTTGATGATCTGATTTTCGGACTACCTGAGGTTGATAATAAAGGAACGGTCGTACCCGTCAGTTTTCGATATACAAACCTGAAGTTAGAAAAAGAAGCAAAAGAGAAGATTATTGACTTGAGTACGTCACTGGCAGAAAGGACATGGATGTGGGCGTTTTTCGCGCGTATATTTTCTTTATAGATAACGCAGACTTACTCCTCTTTAACGGTACCATCGAAGTAGCCCGAAAGAATTTTAAGCGGAAACCGCAAAACATAAATATTTACGGCTGTGTTTTATGAGACTTGTTGCCTCGCTGCCTTCATATTGTTCAAGAAATAAACAGCTTTGGTTTAACACTTTTGTTTTACGAATATTGTTACCGTCTGATCTCACCAGAAAAACAAATTTTAGGTAGACAATTTTTCTCACATTTCGAGGAAGTCTACCCCGCAGATTTTTTATAGCGAAGCAGCCGCGTAGACAGAAACGTAAAACCCGGGCTCCACAGCTGCTATGAAGAAACTGTTATTCCGATTTTTGAACTGCCTAAGGTTAGTAGAACTGGGAAAAGCTTCCTCAGGTAGATTGTTCCACAATCTTGATACACTAGGGCAAAGGAGCCATTATATTGAAATTTTAGATGTACGAATTTCGACACGGTTAGGCTTAGAGGCCGAAATCAGACACATCGCTCGGCATCATGGAGGAAAGCTTTGAGAGTTGACATACTGGTAGAAGAGAGCCAGATCACCGACAGTCAGTCGATGCAAAATGGTCCCGAGACTGTCCGTTAGAGAAAAGTCATCGATCAATCAGGCAGCCCTCCTCTCAACAGCATTATTCATGGATAATGTATTCGGCGCAGCAGCACCTCAAGCATGTGAGCAGTACTCGAGCCTAAATCTTATCTGCGTTTTTGTGCTTTCGCTTATTTCTTTACTAATATTTCGTTTCTATAAAACAATCTTTCTATCCCCACAATCTTTGTAACGACAACATTTTGTAAGTATGGTAAATAACTGAAACTGTCATAATATTCTAATTGGAAGTTTATTGAAGCATTAGCTTACAATAGCCCCCCTGATGAGCTTGAATCCCATACTTCATTACCTGCATTGCTTGAAGATATACTTTGCAATCTATTTGAGATTCACACAAACGGTATTGTTAAACAATAACGTAATAATCTGTAACAATGTGCGGTAATCTACTCTTCCTCATAAGTGGGCCGTTCCCTAGTTGAATGGTAACAATATGCTAAGAGAAATTTCTAGATTCCTACACTAGCTTTAATAACCAAATACTTGAAAGCTCGGATTGTCTGAATTGGACTCTAACTCGATGATTCACCAAGCAAATTTCTATCTTTCTGCCCCGTACATACCTGCAAGTGTCGGGACCCTGATTTTGAATACGATCAAAAAATTCTAGATTGTTTCAAAACTGCCATACTATGGAAAAAGTTTTACAAGCTGCGTAGATATGTTGAAAAAACACCTGTATGTCCAACAAAGATGTATTAATACTCTATGAAACAAATGAATGAATGAGGCGTTATGTCATCTGTCCCATTTACGAATCCAAGCATCGCCCACTAGACCGAGATAAGGTCAATTGAATTATAGAAGGTGACGACCTAGTACTTAATATGTTTAGCCTCTTTAGCTAGCAGTGTAGCTAAGATGGTACCAACTTACGGAACAACCACCTCGAATTCGATTATTGCCGATTGTATGCAGTACCGTTTAGCAGTACCATTTAGCGCTGCTTATAACTCTTGAGGTCGTTGCTTGTGTGATGGGATAACTTGTTCCTGCTAGGTGCAAGGACGTTGGACTCATGCGACGTTGCCGGATTGTTCACAAAATAAGAGATAATGGGATGCTCCCTGGATATTGATGTTTATGTTTGATCTAACGTAGATAAAGTTTGAAGCTTTAAGAATCAATAATTGGTTCACAATCGGGTTTTGAATAAATTGCTAAATACTCCTGAGTTTGTCCTAGGTATTGTTATGTTCAATCATTGATTATTGTATTCAACCTATTCAACCTAAACTTAGCTAAACATATACAATATTCTGGCATCTGAAAGATCCTAGTGCCATCTGCGAGGCATTAGCAGGACAAAAAATAAATTTAGAAATCTACTTTGATAGAGTTAGTGTTTGGTTCTGCTACTGTGTCATAGATAGCGCTAGGTTCTTCAATCCCACTTTGGCGTGTGTCTTACGGCTACTTTAATTGAACAACTTCAGGCATTGATTAACGTATTTAACCTGAAGACACCTAATTAAAATAGATATTAGAGACAGAGGATCCTAGCGCCATCTATGAGATAGTAGCATAACCAAACCGTCTAAGCTTTTTCAAAGTGGATTGCTAAATTTGTTTGATGTTCTATTATCGTCTCAAATCCCTTTTTGGGCGCCGGAATACAATTTACGTTGGCCATCTTCTACGTCAGTCAATTGTTCGGTAGACATTTTATTGAAGATTCGCAAAGGCACAGCTGAATTTTTGCATAGGAATAGTTATTACATCGATATAAGAATGTAATCCATATTTTCTGTTATCGGAATTATAGGTATACTTTGAAGTTGAGTCATTAATTTTCAGATAATGATTGTAGAAGGAAGATAAACCAAAATATGTGTGTAAAAATAAAAAAAAATTAAAAAAAAAATGTTACCTAGCCCGTTGTACTACATTAACAAAGGCACGAGGGGTTGGTTGCACTCGATTGGGAAACCAATCCGCATAAACATGTGCCATTTTTTATTTCGTTTGAGCCACGCAACAGACAACACTATTCACTCCGCATTACCGACTGACACTGACTGTATACGTATACAACTGAATAAAGTAATTGTAAAAACATCGTTCCAAATTCTTTGGCTTTTTTGTTTCCGATGCGATGAACCGATAAGGCGGATTATATCCGTTGTTGCTAAACACGAGCACATAATATTGTTATTGAGACAGGGCGGTACTCAAACTTCCAAAGGGCTATAACGTTGTTACTTTAATGGTAAAGGAAAAAACATTTCCTTTGATCAGATCTACTCACTGTTAAAATAAATGACTCAACTTCGTATAAAACGTTCAAAAACTCCAGCTACGAGTTCCTGTAACTATTCATCGCTGATCGCAGTAACTTCTTAAACCTATAAGACTCCTCGCAAATCTTGTTTGCGTTATTAACTTCAACAAATGGTTGAGCAGATTTTTCTGTACCATGGTTATCGATTTAATTCCCTTTCATACAAAGAAGACGAAATTTAAATTTCACATTCACAAATATATATATATAGAATTACTCAAGAAGTTAAAATGTGCAAGGAAACTAATTTATTTTTTGTTTTTTCAGGTAAGATGGTGTAGCCAGTAACAAGAAAAGTAAATGTTTCATTTAAGGTAAGCTTATAAAAAGTAAGAGGCCTCACTACTAATCTTGAGTAGAAATTTCATCAAAATCGACCGGTACTTTCCAAGTGATAGACGTGCCAAGGATTAGCGGACAGACAGACAGACCGACGGACAGACTGACCGACACACCTACAGACAGAATTTTTTGAGATTACGCTTCTTCCTCGCCAGTAGGCGTGGGAATTGAAATTTAAAAATCTTCAGAATTATTTTGTGGGTATTGTTAACACTTTTCTAATATTATTTACCACAGTTAACGGCTAATTTTTTAATATGCGTATATCTGACTTTTCAAGTAGGGATTATCGATATTATTGTTTCACATAATTTCCACTTGACCAATATTCAGTACATAATTTCTTGTTGATATATATCGCTAGCAGAGATTTAATGTATTTTTGAATTCGTCCATACTGAAAAAATGAGCTTGTCCCATTTTTGAGATATTCCTTCTGAAAGGTCTGGCAACGTAGCATCCGTAAGTGCAAGCAAGGTCGTCGTTCTAGTAGTAACGACGGCGGCGTGTTGTTTGCTACTTTTGCTTGGCATGAATGCACTTCACCAGATAAGAACTAAAGGTGGGTACACACGGCATCGGTATTGTTGACCGCACTGTGTACGTCCTCACCAAGGGTTAGTCAGAGCGTACCACTCTATTCTGAGGGATATTCATCACCTACAATAAAGGGGTGCGCGTATTATGAACAACCAGCATTCTGATGTATGATTTTAGTCGCGGAACGTGTAGATGGCGCCACTAATAAAGTAACCAAATTTCACAAGCAAGCAAGTTACCATCAAAGAAACAAACTTGATCTGAAGTTTATAGCATGAATTGCTTCATTTTTAAGCGTACAAAAACGCGGGCAACAGCTAGAATAAAGCGTATGTATGTATTCGTTCTTGACGGTGGAGATTTTGCTATTTGCCACGACAATTAATTGCAAAATCGACAATGATTTCGCGGAAAAAACATACTGTAGCGTTTTTCTGGGTTCTTTTGGGTGTGGATTAAAACACTCGATTCCACAAAAAGAAATGACCAATTTATTTAAAACATAACACAACTGACTTTAACTTAACTAGATAGAACATTTACGTACACCACTATTTATATCTGACTACTTATTTACGAATTATTATGTCGCGCCATTCACTCAACTCCGCTTCCCTCTTCCGGCCGTCGGATTATATATTCCGCATCGCCGGTACTCGTTGATTCGAGAAAGTTCCGGTACGCCACATAGGGACCAGTCCAGAACCTTCGAGGTCACTCTCGCACCGCGCATCGATGCTGGAGGAGAGTCCCTGGCGAAGTTTCAAACAGATGTCGCTAGCAGCAGTCGCGACGCGTGACTTTTCCTAAACTGTTACCAAAACCAGATGTGAAAAATCTTATTAAAAAAAAGTTTATTTTGAACCTCCCAAATATAAGTTTTTGCTTATTTTAGGTATTTTATTTAAACTATTTTTAAATTAAGGTAAGCATTCCTGGACTGAGCGTCTGGGGCACTTGATATACCTCATCGTCTTATGCTATGCAAGCCGACCGAAAAAACAGTCGACATTTCTAGATGTTCGGAAAATTTTTGATCTTTTTTGGCAATGAATGTTAACAATTCCCTGTAATTTCCTCTTCAAAATGAATGGTAATTCCTGTTTTGCCAAAAAAACATACGGTATCTAGAAGTGTATTGCCTAAAAGCTTGATTAAAACAACTTTCGATTCTTGTTTTGCCAAACTGAGTTAAATTGGCTACACATCTCACATGTGACGGAGAAATTTCATCTCTCCTCTTTAGAGCCCCAAAACTATGTAAATCGTTGACTCCGCTGCTGGTCCACCCATTTTTTTCCGTATAAAACAGAAGACATCGCCAACAATACAATTAGTTTTTTGCAACCACATAACCAAGAGTTTCCATATACCAACTTAATTTAAAATATCAAACTACGTTTTTTTATTCCTTTTTAAAATTACCTATAATAGGTGTTGGTCTTCCATTTTCAATGATCTCATTTTTTTCTTAAAAATTGAAAATGACTTTTCAAGTAGTTGATCGATTACGCAGCGACACTCATCCATGTTTAATTGCACGCACACTACAGCCGGTAACCAAAACGGCTACTAACGAGTGAGAAGTGAGTAACCAAATCAAAAAAATGGTAGCAAGCCCACATAATAGTCACAGCGCCCCACGCACTTGGGCGACCGCGATAAGACACGAGCCGGTACCGACGGTCCCCGACGGACTACCAAGTGTATCCATAAATGGAAATGGTAACAACCAACACCAAGTCGAGGCGAGTCAGCTTCATCGTGTTCACAAAACCTAGACACTATAGGGCACATTATTTTCGTGGGGCTAATTTGCTATTTACTGAATTACTATTACATATCGCTGTTGGTAAACAAATAAATGAACTTATTTTTAAGATTTTTAACTGTTACCAATGGTAACAATGGTTACATGGACGCTTCGCCACTGGCTAGTAGTCTCGCACCGAACGAGAGTCCCTGGCGCGGTTCCCAACAGATGTAGCTAGTAGTATCACTCATTCTTGTTACATTACCTATAACCTGGTATCAATTAGTGAGTGAACACATTTTTAAGTCTCTCCATATCGTGGTTCAGACTTAATGCTGACAGAAAGGACAAACATTTATATTTTTGTATAGAGACTAAATAACAATGCTTTAATGTAAACTAAGCTTAAAATACTATTCGGGGTTTCAACTTTAGATAATTGACAACTGTAAAAATAATGAGTTTTTGCCGAAATTTTGAGCATTTTAAACTTACTAAGTACCTTTTTTGTTCAGAGTGGTCCAAAACACAAACTTTGTATGAAGAAATGTGATTGTAAAAAAAATCGAGTAGGGAAATATTCTCCAGACATGCGACAATTAATAATTTTCCTAAATTCATTTTTGTTTTTGTCTCTCATCGTTGGCGTTAGCATCCTTCAGACCTATTTTTGGACGTCGGAATCCACAGTATATGACTGACTATGACTAAATTACAGATATTACATGTATTATCTTTAATGAAACTAGAGAGCAACACTTGACCATTTTGCTGTATAAAAATATTTGGTGGTAGAAAAGTACAGCTATATTACACATAACTGAAAGGAGGGTAATGAATGAGCAACAAACCGATCTTGAGAAGATAAGCGGACTTTCTTAGTAGCATATACACCAATGTCTTAAGAGAACCGAGATATTGGACTTCGCAAACTCAACCAAACCTGAACCAAACCGAAGCCGGTCCTGTCCTATCCCTCGATCACGTCCACAGCGCCAGCGCCAGCGTACAGTTATACGACGTATGACTACGATGTAAATACGGATTTTACGGCAGAGCCGTACTTGGAACTTCAATTTAACTGAACAGTGCGTACATTTTCATTTATTTTTTTCTTGTTGTGTCTGAAAAATAAAACCCCAACTTTGCGGACACCTTGTATAGAGACAGGCTTTTTGTTCTATAATCCAAGTTATTTTACAACACGCACGCATTGTATGAGGCCATTTAAAAGAAGATGAGCTAGGAACAAGCATTGTTAATGAAGATGGGTTAAGGATATATCGTTGAAGAACATTCTATCTAAAAATTAGCTTTTTACGTAAATAAATAGGAGTTTCACAGATAGGTTACTTACGTATAAAGGTTAGGTAATTGCAACTTACTAAATCTGCCATATTTAACTAACCTGCTAGTATAGGGTAATGATCCGAAACATGGTCAAAATGGCTTAAATTAACTCGCAACATCTCAACAATATTTAAAAATTGATAACCTAATTGATTCACACATATTTAAAATTCAGAAAATTTCTGTTAGCATACAGATGTAAGCTCCTGGTAAGAGATTATTCAAATGTTCATAAAGCCTCACATTTTCATCGATTAACACACCCAAGCACTTGAGCAAAGTAAAACTCGAGCCTTATAAATGAATTCCATGAGCACATGAAAATTGCTACGTGTGTAGCCACCTTAAGCACAAGCGAATGAGAAAGGTAACCTAATCCAAAACAACTCAAATACCAACCTGTTTAGACTCGAGCACGACTGGTTCTAGCTTCGCAGATCGCGGATTCTGTGACAAGACATTCGTTGCGTGGTTTCTAATGTTTCTAGGTTACATGAAACGCGACAAGTGAAGATAACTGCATGGATTTCAAAAATAAACTTGAAGTGGGACGGTCCTTTGTTTATAATAGAAGTTAATTTTCACTTTCAATCACATGATTTATACAGGGTGTTCTTAAAGTTGGGACTTTCCTTTATAGAGCGTATAGGTCAGGCAATAAGAAGCAAGTTTTCCCAGTAAGCCATATACCAAAGAGTTGAGATAACCAATGTATTGAGTCCTACGTCAAAGGATATGATGATTTATGATACTATGACTATGTGAGTTAGTATCTTAATCAGAAAAGACGTGCCAATCTTTCTAGGGTAGTAAGTACAACCAAAAATAACAAAAAAAAGTTCCATAAATATCGGTCCAAAGATATTCACTTACCGTTATACAGGGTGATGAAGTTTCTATGGAGTGGGTAAAGATATTGAGTTAAGATTTTAGACGTCCTTCATAAGAAATAAACACACAGAGTTTCTCAATCTAAGTCAGGGAGATAGAAACTGGGAACCTACCAGTACCGAAGGTACCATTCATTGAACCTTGCCTATGTACGCCACTGGTTTTCTTGGTATACTTCTGTTAGATTCTCCTGTTTGTCTAAGATCACAACTAGTAATATTGTGGAACCTGTTCAATTTGAGTAAAATTGTTATTTTGCTTCTGAAATTTTCGGCCTTCTTTTAGTGACCTCAACAAAGAAGATATCACAAAGCGTTACTAACCTTGGGCACGAAGTATGAGGACGACATATACAGAAGGCTTTCAGCACTGTTCGTATTACGCCAGGTATTTTCCAAAGAGTCAGAGAGTCTTTGTGGCATAGAGCACGGGCTTGAGTTGAATCCAGAGGTGGTCACTTTCAACGCCTCCTCTAAGTTGGATGTTGTAGCATTTATTCAGCATTATTTTTTGTTCCCCATGTTATGTCCTCTCATGAACTTAGAAATAACCACGTAAGTTACATCAGCGTAATGTTTATTGTCGTCGTGCTAAATTCTTTTACAATTCAAAAATGTGTACGCTCAAAATAAAACCATTATTTGGGCCTAAAGAATAGATTAACGCATATTTTCAATATGCATCTTAATTCAAGGTATTGTATAACATATTGGCAACGCGGCAGATTGCCGTGTCAACGTTGCTAGGCAACGCGGCGATGAGCTTCGGCAACCGGCTTCTATCTCTTTCTAATATATGTGTCTATACACACTTCTCTCTCGTACACATTGAACTCAAGACGCCAGACAAATTTGCTGTTCAGTGTATATCTTATGGACTCGTAAATTTCAACCTTTGTTTTTTAAATACATGTCTATGTCTTTGTTTTTACTTACATGTATGCATGTATGTGCAGGAAACGTATACTGAGTTAATTACTGGATAGTTTGCCTCTTTGACTAATCCCCTATAAGTGGACAAATAAAATAGCTATCTATCTATAAACTTACTCTGCTGTAATATTCTTAGTACATACCGTTTGCGATTAAATTCAGTTTATCTGTTTCTAGAATCCTTTATTCCAGTGTTATCTCGAAATATGCTACTTGCTTTCATATACCATCATTTATAACAGGGCTGTCCAACTTAATGTGGCCCAAGGGCCACTTAAAAAAAAATGCGGTTTGGAGGGCCGCATTATAAAATCTTTCTATACAACATTATTACTGAGTTTGTAAGAATTGTGCACATTCGGTATTTGAGAGTAATTTATACATGTGATGTATACATGACCCGAGAAGCGGGCCGCATGCGGCCCGCGGGCCGTATGTTGGACAGCCCTGAGTTATAATATCGCTGCTCCTATCTTCTTGCTATTCAGGATAGTAAATAATCCAGTTTTTGTGGTTTTCACCTGAACGAAATGAAATTCTATCAAAATGCTACCTTGACAAGGCCATCTCCGTTAAATAAAATACGACTTTTACTATGAAAGTCATTATTGCTGCGGTTATAACGGCTACAAGTTACCTGGATATTTGAAGAACTGCGATTATATCGTCTTAGTCTTGTGGTTGGATTAGAATGAATCTTTATCAGGCATAGTTACATAAGGAATTGTTATATGAAACATCTACAGCATTTATTTTTGCGTAAGCTTTCTACGAATCATTTTATGTATTCCCTATACCCCATCATATATCTAAAAGGACTGGTTTGAGGCGGTTATAAGAATTTAAGATTTTAGGAACTTATTTTTGATGTTAATGTTTAAAATCACTGACATCGTCGGGTAGTTCGTGATAATAGAGATTTTTTAGTGCTTTTGTTTTACTGATTTGTTATGATCTTCCTTATTTCCAGGATCGTATATCCATACACATCTGAACGTAGAACATTTTAATTTTCAGATATGAAAAGGTCCATATTATCTATCATCTCGCTATGTGCATTTAAGTGGGGAACATCCAGTAGAAGTGGCGATATGTTGGTGTTTAGGTTCTGCCCTCGCCCTCGCAGCTTCTCTAATATAAATAAATACTGTTACGAAATAACAATTTGCAGCTGTTGCTAATAAAATTTCATTGCACTCTAAGCCTCAGGCACCCCTTTGGTTACATAAACTAGAACTGGCGCGACGTGCGACCTTTTTTAATCCAATGATCGACGAAGTACATGCCCGCATCACTGATAAGTCAATAATCTATTTCCTCTTTCCGTAATTGCCTGGGTGTGCATTCGGTATGCTAACCGAGAATCTGTTTATCATAAAACATGTCATCCTAACTTAGTTGGATGCGTCTTTGGGGCGCCAAGTATCATATAACTTTTATAAACTTCATTTTTGATGAAAACATCAATAACTTTAAAATATAAACTAATTGAATAGAATATTACAGCAAACCCCTGTTGCCTGTACAGTAGGTTACACAGTAGAGCAAGTTCTAAAATAAGATTGGACCTGTAAGTGTAGACTAACCTAAATTGCATAAGTACTTAATTTCAGATCAAATCGAAACTGCAAGTTTCAAAATAAATTCAGGAAGTATATCCTTATTCGCTCGAATAATACTTTAATCAGGTTTTTTGCATAATCTCATTCAAAAGGTACCCCTACAGACTTACAGATGTACGAGTACAAGGCTTTAACCAAGATCAACGGTCATACGGATCGCTCGGAAAGGCAGAGGTAAATAGAAAGAGAGTATAATGTTATAATAATCGCTGGCTGAACGGATCTAGTACAGAGACAGATCGTAGTCTGGAATAGTACATAGACTATCCTTTATCCCGGGGAATAACTTTAGAATATGTATTTCACGGGCTAGAGCTCAAACAGCTGAATGGAATTTGACATGAGGTGCCTGACGCGGAAGCGCTCAGTCGCTGGTGCGGCCGAAATGAGTAAATCTGCATTTATTGAATTTCAACATTAGTTTTCGTAGCGTGATCGTTTTGATTTAGATTTGTTTGATGTTTTGTTTTACTTCGAGTATAATAGGGTGAATAAATAGTTACTGGGTTATTATATGTTGATATGCCACACAGACTGAGATATACTTCACGTATTATTAGTTATTATGATTACAGATTTGATATTAATTCATTGCTGAATGAAAAAATGTCCATTGTCACAGTAACTATTGCATCACTCTGAATATTGCATTACTTTCTCCGAAATCTAATCTCCTCCACACTAATGTAAAACGAGCGACCTATACTGCCGTACTTTGGTAAAAGGCATTCAAGTGTAAAAATCGAGGTATGAGAAAATTGAGTTCAAAATTCTATACTATTTCGAACTAAATAACTAGTAAAAGAAAAGTGAACTATTATTGCAAAGTTGCACGTCTGTATAGAAAGAGTTACATGTGATATCGAATGACAATAAATTCGATGCCTAACAAATGACATTCGGTCTTTAATTGTCGTGAATCAGAGAAGTAACATGTGATTTTTAGCTTTTATACTCTGCAAAAACGAATATACTGAATGTTTTCAAAGTTTTTATGATCTACAGTATTTTTTGGAAGGAAAACGCAGTAATGCAGAATTTCTTTTTTATTTCAATACAATTTATTCATGTTGAAATTCACGGAAAAAAGTAAATACTTTCAACATCGAATAATTCAATTTAATAATTATTACAGTCACCAAAAATAATGTTGATCAAAGAATATTTTTCAAAATGATTTTTTGGGAGCAGTTTATAACGATAAACACTCATTCACAAATAAAATAAATAAACATCGTAATAGGTTATAAAGGGTAAAAATGGAGTACTTGTATCAAACAGAGAATAAGAGCAGTATATAGTTTGAAAACTATTGCTTTTTTGCTTTGATAAATTGAGTTACTGCTTTTATTCTTAAGAAATACAATTAAAATAAAATATCTATCACAGTGGAAAACAACTATTTTTGCTGAATAACGTGATAAATTACATATTTTGTAAAAATAAAATATTGGTGTCAACATTTAAACGGTCAGTAACTGAACTTTACTGCCTTTTACCTGAGTACAGCAGTATACTTCACACTACTTTCACGAGAGCGGAGCTGCGGGCTTAGGCCAGTAATGAATAAAGTCCATTCGATAGATATATTCTGTATTACGAAGTTTTAAAGACAAGGGTCGAAATAGCGGTACCAGAACAAAGAGTCTCAGTAAATTTATATTATACATTTTCATTTTTTTAACATTGGGTATCTTTGTACTATGATGAGAGAAAAAGTAGATGCACTTTAACACTACTTTTTCCATTTTTATACCATGATTTGTTAGCTATGGTAACTACAAGCGTTACAATCAGGTTAAGACACGTTTTTAGTATCGAATAAAACAGGCCAAAACATGCCCACGAAACTTCGTTCTATTCATCTACAAGTATCGTCCATACATACTAAACAAAGGTAAATGGTACCTTCACGGAACCGTTTATTAATAGGATCGGTGGCACAGTGGACACAAAGGAGCTGTAGTCGGCGACAAGACGGGCGGTACCGTGGCATCGAGAAGTGTGACGTGGTCGCCAAAGAATCTCCATAATAACATTTTATCGTTCACTGCTACGTTCCGTTTATCTTTGTTTAGTTGGTCTCAAGCGACGTTGCCTATCTTGTAGATAATCTTAGTGTTATTATTATATATTACGTGCCCAAGAATACATAAATATAAAGCTTCACAATGCAAGTATTTATGTTCATTCTAGTTCACCTATAATCGAACAAAACTCGGAACACTGAGATGCGTTCGAATATGGCTATCAAAAAATTTAGTCCGGTGCGAGAGTGGATATCAGCTATCGGTTGTAACTGTAAAGACCTCAGTTCGCGTTTGGTAGCCCAGTCACGACTGTGACCGCTAGAGGCTGACGATTCTGGTGGTATAAACGATATGGTCTACTCGCCATTGAACAACTAAAAATACCACAGACAGCCAACCTGGACTATAAAACTCGAACTTCCAACCAATAGCTGCTATTCACTGTCGCAGTGGTCGATTCTAGTGATAGGGCTTATTTCGACAGATCTTATACCTCGGATAGATGATAATTCCCATGTTCACCTGAGAGAAAGCCTAGACCCAGCTGATGAACTACCAAAAAGCACAAAACAACTATCCATGGTCGGCTGTCTTTGGTCGGGCGGACTGAAGCAGCATGCTTAGTTGTTGATCACTGGGAGTAGACCGCCTCTGCTATGCCGCCAGAATCGTTAGCCTACAGCGGTCTAGCCTATTAAACACGAACAGAGATCGTTACAGTTCCAACCGATATCTGTTGTATGTAGTCGATTCTGGTAGTAGAAAGCACTTTGAGCCGTCTTGTTTCGATAGATCTCACACCAATTATAGTGTATAGTTGCTACACTTTGGTTGGGTGTCCGAGAGACCCAAGCCTAGACCCTGCTGGTGAGCTGCTAAAAAGTACGAAACAGCTGTATATGGTGGCTGTCTTCAATCGGACGGCCGAAAGCACCATGTTTAAAAAATGCTAGTGTTTCGAAGCCCTATTTGGAGTATCAAAACTGAACTTTTTTGGTGTTTCGTTGATCTCAGCAAAAAACTGACATCATATTCGTGATCTACTCGATTTATCCAAGAACAGAATGACAGACACGCAAGAATATTGTTCAGAAACTTTAAAGTTTATCAACGCAAAATTTCTATTTATGTTCTCATTGCTTAAAAGTGATGGAAACTTTGCACACTGGGGCAATTTGGGACCCTGAGTTCAGCTGGGATCAGAAAATTCTAAATTGTGAAATGTGGAAATGTGAATAATTATTTTAGGAATTCCCACTGATCTCAGCAAAACTGTGGCGGATTTAGAGGGAGGCGCGGGGGGCGCGGGGACGTCTGACACTTGCTTTTGTAATCTAACACTATTGTGTTGCTTTCTGACTCATCATGGCGACAGAGGCATATTTACTATAAGTTATAGCTATAGGAACTGAACATTGCGATTTTTCTTCTGCATCACTTAAGATTACCGGACAATTCTTACGATTACAGCACGATTGTTACGATTTATACGTATATTCCACTATGACTTGTGACAAATCTAAGTCTGAGCAAGATATTAGCTATACAGATTGTACTTGAAAAGTGATTTATGTTCTGTGTTGCTCAATAGTAATTTGAAAAGTACCTATGTAAAGCTTGACTGATTTTGTTCGGGGTTGGTGTTGCACCGAAGCACTATTAGTCTAATCATATTAGATAAAAATACCCCTGGTTTGCGAAGGCTATTTTTATTTTGCTATTAAATGTTCTTTGAACTTACCCTGCATATTGCTCAATAAACTAGTAGTGATGGCCGGAAAATGGGTGTTTTGTGATGAACAATTAGAAATTCTGTATGAAGTATGAATCCTACGGATTTGAAGAATTTCAACTAGTTGCATGAAATTATCGTTGTAGGTATCATAAATACCTAAAAATATTATATGGCAAGTCTTTTCGTTCCTGTCAACACTTTCGATTGAATAAAAAAAAACACGTTTTCTCATCTTTGTTCTCAAATAAAAAGTTTTCCCACAAAAATTGGTGTACCCATTTTATGCGTCCATGTTTAAAATACCTCCTTGAACAACTTGCATAAATAAAACCGGACTTTACAATTATTTCGGGGAAATTTGCTAATATGATTAGAGTAGATGTTAGACGAAAGCCTAAATTTGAAATTTATGAGATTTGGCCTGTCCAGAAAATGCGTCGATCGTTCGTTTCTATTTATGTTGCTATATTGAATTCGTTTAAGTCACAGAGCTTCTGCACTACACTTGAATATGTACAGTATTATCAAAATAATTACGATCTAACAGATATAGTTTTTTCCAAAGATTTCCAACATATTTACATGCGATAAACACCGATTCGAAAACCGAGGAAACAACAACTATGCCGTAAATCTAAGTTCGACAACGAAAGTCAGAAGAAAACTGTAACATCTATATTGAATTTCATAAATATCTGACTATACCTATTCATATTTTTATCACCTGATACTCTAAAAGTGCTTGATTGTGTCAGTATTTGCACCAATTACTTGATTTGTTTAATGGATAGTTCAGAGTCTTTATCCTTA